GTGTTATGATCAAAGCCAGGCACTGGGCATCGTGCAGTAAACATTTCACATTGCATTACATCCAGACTAAATTGCTCCAGTGCCCCCATGGAGATCGCACGAACATCTGGCGACAGCAGCACATCGGACAGCCTTGCTGACAGATGTTTGCAAGTCTGCAAATGAGCGAGTGGGTTCGATAAGCTGGTATCATAGAACAACAAGATTACCGTGAGCTAAAAAATTTTTAAAACAAATATTTTCGTTTCTTTGAAAAACATTAAAATCAAATCCAAAAAAAAAAACACCCACCTGCATACAAACATGTCGAGCCAATACAGAAGGTAGATTGGTGAATGAGAGGAAAGTGGTAGAAAGATAACTTATAAGGTCACTTATATAGTCCGAAGCATGACCTGAACATTTTTCGAATACAATAACAATTCCACAGCAAAATTGACGGGAACTGAGCAAAAAACGAAACAGAAATAAGGTGATCAAGTTTGGTGATGTAAGCAAAACTTAGAAAGTAAAGATTACGATTTGGAGAAGGATAAAAGACACCAAATGGCGTTAAAGTGGATAAAAGATGCCAAAAAACAAAAATATATTCTACACTGCAGTAAAAATTGTATTATTTAAAAAATCAAACTGAACATTTTCTTGAGGAGATTTGCTACCATCATACAGAAATCAAATCATCGCTTTATGTCAAAAAATCTGCCAGTATTATAAGAGATCACACTGTTATGCAAAGCCTAACACACCATTACTCACCCGAAGAAGCTGGCAGCTCCCAATCATATTGTGCAAGTTCTATGAAAGCATCAACTTTATCCCGTATACAATCCTCTATCTGCGCTTCTACCTATAACAGCAGTTATGTCTACTGGAAAAAGTGGGTGACAAACAGTCATACCTCACTCCTAGCATCTCTAAACACACGCTCAGTTAGCGACAATTGATGAGCAGTCATTGACACATTCAGCTCATTACCGCTGGTCAGTTTCGTAATATAAACGCCAAGGGATTCACAGGACTTTTCAAGATATCCAATATTAACCGTGATTTGCACCAACTGAACACAATAGCGATATATGGAAAAGATCAGCATATGATTTCATCACCGAAAAAAACGGATATTTTCAATTACCTGCACTAAAGACAGCTTCT